GCCCCACAGTTTGGGAACCTCTGGTTTAAAGTAGGTTATAAAAACTAAGAAAATGGCACTGCTGCAAGCCTGCAAAAAATAAGGGTGTCCAAGTATCAAGATGGGCAAAGAGATCATTGATCAGACAACATTTAAGATCTTAATAGTAACTACTAATATTAAAAAAAAAAATACTAACTAAAATATTTACCCCAACGACTTGTGATATTACAGCAAAAGTCCAATGAAACACTTTGAAGATTGTGACTGCAATGTGACAAAAAAAATGTATAAAAGTTCAAACATCATGACAATATAATGTCTGCAAGTCACTGTTAAGTACCGAGCAATTTTTAAGGACCGTTTCCGTGATTAAGAGATCGAATGGGAATGCATGTACCTGGTCCTGTTCCCCGCCACCTTCCTCGTCGTAGTTGAGCACGTTTTCTCGGATATCCTCCCACTCGCCATGGTGTGCAGACACATGGTAAACACCCTCCTTCAGGCCCTTGTGTCTCCTCCAGCAAGAGTAAAGAAACAGCCCCAGCATCAACACTGAGGGGTGCCAGAGAGCGTGTTAGCACAGCGGGGAGCACTCGCGCATAATTAAAATGAGAAGCTAAGCAGCAAGACGACATGCCTTTGGATGTAGAAGGAATGAGAGAGCAAAGTTGTGATGCAAATTTTTAAAACTCTAGTTATAAAAACACCCACTCTAGCATTTCCATGCCGATTAAGTACATTTTTCATCCAAAGCACTAAAAAACAGCTGACATTATATGAAACAAATAACACATAATGCATCACAAATACGAAAGCCGTAACACTGATCCAATCCGAAAGGCCTGCTGGCTACCTTGGGCATACAGTTAAGAGGCACTAATGGAACAAACGTGGAAATGGAGGCACCAACCTTTCCACCCATTCCCTTTGATGTTGCCTCTCTGTTTCCTGTCTTATCAAAGACCGCAGCTCCTTGGAAACCTATTAAATAAATTTGTACTCCTCCCAGCTTAAACTCGGGAGCCTCAGTGGCTCGGCTAAACGTGGGGAGGAATACTGCGGAAGCTGAACAGGAAAAGGTCCTGAAGCACACACATCAATCATATCTATTGTGTGCTGAATTATACAACATGCTGGACTGACCTTTAAAACCCATTAATCTCAACCAATATTTTCACCCTGTTTGCCATCCTTCATGTTCATTTTTCCTTCTTCTGCTGCTCGCTATCTGTTTTCACTACTTTGAATCTTTTCTCTGTCCTCGCTCTCCGTTTTATTGTTGTTGCTGCTGCTGCTGCGTGTTGGAACGTCCTTCCCTGCTTGCTCCCCTCGTTCTCACTCATTAAGTCTCTCCCTGTTTCTGCTTTTTTTTCCCCCCCTTACCTCTCTGGCCTCCTCCTGGCCTTAGCTTTTATCTCGCTCGCAAGATGGGATCCATTTCACCTGCAGTATCTTCCATGGAGTGAGCTAAGTACTGATTTAATTGAAAATCTTGAGAGAAATGTGAGATAATGGCATTAGTCCAGGATTTTTAAAGTAATTGCTTTGAGGGAGAATAATACAAGCAATGACTCTTTTGGTGGTCACACGAGCAGAAAAACACAACTTCCTACAGAGGTAATCTGCACAAGAAAGAGGTGGAGCAATCCTTCCTCCCTCCCAACCCCAACTTGAAATCATTGCTTTTTTCTCAGCGAGGAAGAGGAGCTGTCTACTTTTAAAACTGGAATAAAACCTTTTTTTTTGATCAAACAGAGTAACTTATGTTAACCTATCTCTGTAGCTGCAATAGACATACGGGACATACTGAGCACTTTTCTTCACTGTGCTACTTTCTCCTGCTACTCTCCACTTGTGCCTTGCTTTCACTTATTTGCTGATATTACCTTTACTTTTTCCATCTGCTATTTTATTTCTACAGAGGCAACACCTGAGGCAGCTTTCCATCCAGCTGTGTCACCTTTCTCCAATTTCAAGGAGTCAAACTTTTGTCCAAGTCATGTCCATTACAATTGAAGGTAACATGATTAGTTGATTTCACTATGTGCCTGGAAAATACATAATACCGCCCCTTGAAAGGTTTTTAGTCATACACTAATTTCAGCGTCTTTAGTTTACCAGGCTCTTTCGGGAGATCAAGTTGAACACTGACCAGGCTAAGAATGGGTTAATATTTATTTAAAATAGGTGGGCATTTACTCCAGGTCAGACCCCTTGTTGTATATATTTTCTGAATAAATGTAATTCCTCTGAGCATTATTGTGAGCAGACTGGACTTGTTTGCTCTGCTTTTGTTTCAGAGTCAATTTTCCATCATTTGCTCATTTTATACGAACCACTCACTCCCCAATTGTGCTTGTATATCGCACACCTTTGGTCGCTGCAAATTCAATGATTCGATGCAGTCAGACGTCCTCACTATAAAAACTTTTTGCCAACCGACATCATTCTAAACAGAATTTGCCTGTAACTTTATGACAGCTGCGTACCGTCACTTGGATCGAAAGAGATCGAATGCTGTCTTTGCATCTATTTCTCTCCTTCCGATTGGACTGATACGAGTACATATTTCTGTGCACAAGATGAACCTGTTGGTGTCAACGTGCCTTCAGGTGAGAATTATTGTGAACTGTTGCTGTACAGATGAGGCGAATTGAACTGAATAGGTTGTAGTCGGTGGAGTGAAGGCGCTACACACTTTTATTTTTATGCTCCTCTCATTTCAGACAGAAAAAAAAAAAGATTTGAAGGATTCCTCTTAAATCCCCAACTGACCCGTCCTCTGTGCGAGGTGGAGGAGAGAGCAGTATTGATCAGCTGACCTGGCTCCTTGACTGTTAACGCCTGAGCAGCCTTGAAGAAAACACCAGAATCTTGATAAGGTGCCAGCCCGACAGCAGCTCTTATCCTTACCTCCAGGATTACCTGGCCTTCTAGGTGCAGCCTGCAGGCTCCCCTTCCCTCCAGCATCACCTGAGCTGCCGTTAAACACATAACTACGGCGGCGGAGTGAGATGGACGCCAGATTGAGGCTAAACCGCAGCCCCCCTCTCCGTTGCAAGCATCCAAAATTAGATATAGGTAAACAGACACTGGTTGCTCTATACCTGTGGCAACTGCATCGCAGAGTAGAGTGCGAGTGAATGTGCAGCTACACTCCGGTGAGATCAATATCCCACAGGGTAGAGCACAAACATCGCAGTCATTCGTCAATCTATAACACTGCTGCTCCTCTGCCCTCTAACCACTACTATGAACAGGGCATTATGATGTTAGACTGGACTGGACTGTGCATTATGAATGAGAGTGGAGAAAACTGTAACCAAGCACGATCCCTGAATTTAACTATTTCGCTGCGCCTCCAGTCTGAGAGCAATGAGGGGGGTGGGGGGGGGAGGGAGAAAAAGAGCTATGAAACAGATTGAACATCAGTGGGGAAAGAGGTGAAATGGGAAGAAATAAAAACTGATGAAGATGGAAATGAGACAGGTGAGAAATGAGGAAGAGTTGGGAAATAATTTATTTATACATTTTTCAGGGATGAGAGGGGAGGGGGTGGAAAAATAGGCGACACTTTACGCAATGGCTTTTGGAACCGAGCCCATCTGGACAACTAATTCCTCTATTCATCAAAACACACAGTGTCAGAGTTGACGTTTGACTAATGAGCGTTGGTCAGACGATCTTGTTCGGTCAATAACCTCCACCGATCTCGCACTCCGCTTGGCCTGGGATGCTGTATGTAAAACTTAATAATGGATGATCATTTTAACTTTTAATGCACGTTGAGGCGGAGTAAGAGTCGCCTTTAATCTAGCATCCAGCCAGCAGCCTTAGCCAAGCCTACTGAGAGTGCATTTATAGCAGTGGCTCTTGTGGTTCTGAGCCTGAGGATCATCATTAAACAACTGTTGTTTTGTGCCATAAAAGCAGCTGTTTTCTAAATTAAAGGACAGGACTAATTTTATTTTCCAACACAACTAAATATTCTGCTCGCTTCCAGTTGAGGGAGAAAATTTGAGTTGTTTAATTTCATTTTTTTCTAACCTGTGAAAATGTAATTACACTCACCAACGAGTGTTAGTCCTGATCCAAATTGCATTACGGAGCAACCCACGACTCCTGCTGAGGTGAATTTTGTTGGGGTTTTTTTTGTTGTTTTTTTTGCACGGTGAATATAAATGCCTCATGTGCAACCACGGACAAACTGCTTCAGTGTTTTTTTTCCTTTTTAGGCTGGCATTGCAAGTAGCTCATGAATTTCCATGAATGAGGCCACACCTCATCAGTTTTGAATTAATTATCAAATATCGCAGACACCTTTATGTTTCATTGGAAAGTGTCAGAATAACTGATCACCTAATACTGGCCACATGGCCCTTGAGGGAACGTCGAGTCAGTTATAGGCAGGGACAGTATATATTGAATTGCCGAGGCGTTTCATATGACACAAAGACTCATAAACAGCAACACAGCCTTTCAGAGGGAAGTCGGTCCAACAACATGTAGGCTATTTGTCTTTCTATTTTCGTGAGCACAAAAAAAAAAAAAAAAAGCACAAAATTCCTTATGTGATCCCAACACAATTAGTTTATCCGTTTCCTCGACCTTTACCGAATAGGATGTTCCATCTTTTTTTTTTTTTTTAAAACGATTGAAGTAGAAATATTTTTGCATACTTATTTAAAAGAAGAAGAAAAAAAAAACCCTCTGGCAGCAGATGTGGGTAGATATTGAATCTTGATCCTATTAGGTCTTAACACAGCTTATGAAACCATCAACCATGCAGTTTTATTCATCTGTTTACAACAAGGAGGGCAAATGTCATCAGTTCAAGTTAAGAGCTGAAATATCATTTGAATAATCAGTTATCTGATGCCCTTTGTGTTGCCTGTTAAACAATTTAGCTGATGTTCCTTAGAGCTCGGTATGTTGTTAATTTGCTCCTAAACTCTTATACCTATAAATATCACTGGCTATTCTCCTGCTTATTTTTTTTAAATGTTATGGACTACATGAATAATCACTGGAGAGATAACTAAGAAAAGAAAGAGAAAGACAAGGTCTGTTATGAGTGCTCATTTTAAGCTGTGCAAAGGAAATTTCATTGCAAGCCTGTGCAACGAGAATTTAAAAAAAAATTGAAGGAAAATATAAGAAAACATCACTGCCTTCCCGTTGACCTTCTTAAGAGACCTTATAAGGACTCATAAGTTTTTTACACTGTGCGCAGTCTGGTGGGGTCACACTGACCCTGTCTGCGCTTTTACGAGTATATTTGTTTTGTGTGTGTGTGTGTGTGTGTGTGTGTGGTTTCAGAAGCTGACGGTCTGACGGGACAACCCCCCCGGCTTCCCTGCTGTCCGATCATGACTTTTGCTGCGCTCCTCCTTCGCATCGCGTTGAGACCCTGGGAGGGTTAAATCATGAAATAACTTTTTGGTTCAATTGTATTAGTCACCCACCTGATTGCTGCTCGACCTCTGACCTTTAGAATTAAGAAATCAATGAAACAGGATTTTACCAAACCTATTTTCATTTTGGACCACATTGAGATTATGAATCTCAAGGGGCTGATTGTGGGAGGAAATATTGATAAAACTACCCACTAAACTGTTAAAATATGACCAAATAGCTGTCTCTGAAAGTATTTCTTAAAGTTAAATAACACTGAACATCTTTTCACATCTATGTATTTGGCACCATATAAATAAAAACTGATCAAATGATATTTAAGCACACACTTGATATCTTGAAGGTTTTATTCATGTGACCCTCAAAAGTATATAGAGTGTCACGTAAAAAGTGTCACATGCAAAAAGTTAGGCAAATTTCAAGAAAGGGTGAGAAACGGACTCACTGGCATCCAGCCATGTATAAAGGATGACAAAACCATTTCTAGGAATCAGGGACTCCACCAAACCACAGCGACAGCAATTATCCACTAATTAAGATAATAAGGAAGACTTGTATACCTTCCTAGGAGTGCCAGTCTGACAAAGTTTCTCCAAGAGCACATTGACAAAGTCTTGCTTTGAGCCTGGTTTGCTCTTCAAAACCCAAGCATTTTACTTTATTCTTTCATATTTACTGTACTTGCAAAGCTTCGCCCAACCTTCAACATTAGCATCAGCAATAAAACTCTAAACTTCAGCTGCTCACTTCTCAGCAGGCACAAAGGAGAGAGCACATGACCCTCATCTTATAATTATTGATTTCAAGATTCTGCTCTTAAACTACAAAGCATTCAGAATCCGCTCTCCCGTTTACAGATCTGAACTCATGACCTCACATGTGTCAGAGTGCAGCCTTAGATCATCTGATGAGCCTTCAAAGAGAAACTTTTTGGTAAGGGCACGCAATCTCCCACAGCTTATATATTCTATAACTTTATTTTCTGTCGAAGCAGCTTTGAGTTTCTACTTGACATCTTTCTTTTCGAGCAAAATAATTTGGTCTCCTCATTTTTCATAGTTTGTCGAATTACAACAAGGTTCTATGTATTCTATTTTTCAGCGCATGTATTCTGCTTTTTTATTCATAATTATAACTGTGGGTCTTTTGGGCGATGTTTCCCCTAGTTTTGCACGTCTAGCAACTGAATTTTTTTTTTTTTTATCTATTCTTTGCAAAATAGCTTAACTTCACTCTGGCTGTATGGAGACGAGATTAATTTACATGGTTTGGCACCAGTTTTGATGTGGATTCAAGTCTGAGCTTGAATCCAATCCAATAAATGGACCTGTTTTGATGAGGTTTGTATCAGATTAAAAGTCTTTTCAGATTTTAGTTAGAAAAACAAAAGTTTTAACACCATGTATCTTTTTGTTCCTCTTCCCAATAATGCACTACTTTATGTCGGTCCCTTGCGTAAAATCTCTCATTAAACTGCCTTAAATCAATAAACATATTAATGGATACCTGCAGTCGGATCATGTGTGCAGGTACAAAGCTCCGATACAGCTAAGAATCTGTGCTTAGCTTTGTTCTCTTATTCTTAAAAAAAAAAACATAAGTGAACATTATCTTGAAGTTCACCTAAAACACTCTAGCGATAAAGAGGACAATAAAAGATGTCCCCTCTCCGCTTTGCCTGCTGTATGAGCTGCAAAAAAAACTAAAGTGCTCAATGGGGAGACAACTGATTGATGACGTAAACAATAAGTTGGCCAATTAGAAAGTAAGGGAGAGAGTGAAACTGACTTCTAAAGTTTAGACAGCAAGAGACCGGAGTAAACAGACATGAAAAACAGAAAAATAAAAAGAATCTCAAAATCTCAACAAATGTTTTTTCTTAGTTTTCCTATGCATCACAAATGAGGACAAGCAGTGTTTCTCTTATCTCCATGCTTCCCTTCCTGAGTTTCTTGTTTTCACCAACTGCCCATAGAGAAACACATCCCAGCATAACTCAAGAGATCAATAACGCAACAAAATATGCGGCTGAGTACAGAGTCAACAGAAGTGAGGAAAAAATAAATAAAACAGCTTATATACAGATCAAGCAAATATAGCATGATGGTACAGTGACAATGAAAACAAAACAAAACAATACAAGATGGAAGACGGTAAAAAAAAAAAAAAAAGAAATCAAGACAGACGTTGACAATGTTTGGTCACCATATGTAGAAGAGGACATAGTCGATGTAGCTACCTAGAAAGGCCATGACACAGATGCTGATGGCAAACATGGAGCTGAGGCTGAGGCTGCTGCCGTCCTCGCTGTGGAACACGGCGAGCGCCACCTCGCAGTGCCGCCCTCGGTAGCCCTCGCTGCAGTGGCATGAGTAGCGCGACGGCGAGTGGGCCACGCACGTTCCGTGTCGACACGGCCGGCTGGCGCAGAGCGTGTAGATGCACGCTCTGCCCGAGGAGGTCTCTCTGGTCATGTGTCCCGGAGGGCACCTGTGCAGAGAAGATGAAGAACTGTAAGGGAGACACATGAGACACTTGGGAAGCTGTCAAATAATAATAATAATAATAATAATAATAATAATAATAATAATAATTAATAATAATAAAAAGAACATTGAATTTTTCAGGAGTTGTGGCGTCTAAGCCGATGGTGTAAAAATAAATCCCTCAGGAGTTACACGTCTTATATCAGATTCAAAGATATGTTCTTTGAAGGTTACAGAATGTTGACTGGAAATGAAAAAAAAAAAAAGAAGAGGGAACAAGAAAAGAAACCGAGACGCTAAGATTGGCTTTGCAGCAGTAGTCCCCCAGTATATTTGTACAAACTATCCCCTGAATATCACTCATCCCTGCCCCCTGCTTCTCTGAGTGCTTTGTATCCCGAGGCTGTGCTGCAATCACAGAATATGGATGCCAAAGTCCCCACTGGTTTGGAGTGTTGAAATCACAGCAAAGAGACTTAGTGATCCTGCAGAGTTTAAAGGCCCAGCCAAAACTCTTACAGTCGCTGCTGGTATGCACTTTTCTTTAAAGTTGACTCAATATTTGGCACTCGGCACGCAACTGGTCCGCTCGGCCTCGTTGCCATCTGTTGGACAACGACGCATCACGAAACGATAAAACATTCACACAAAATTATCATACTAAGGACGCAAAACCTCCTTTCTCTGCATTAATTTATGTATGTTCTGTCATCTATTATTCATTCAAATGCAAGTCTTGCATAAATGAAAGCTCTACGACTTCTAATTTTCTGCTATGAAATTGAGAATTGTTGACTTTGGACCACCTTAGAAACAAACTGTTTAGTCAGCCGGTCATTTTCGGTTGTATAATTATGACTTCCAGTTATAACGTAAAGAACCTTCATGTTACCTTTAATTGAGACATGCAGCTTAAATCACATACAAAACATATTCCAGAAATATTGCCAAAATTGGATGTATCTTGACATAGAATAGCCTAGTTCTTCAGTAGATTCAAGTGTATCTCTCAAAAAAAAAAAAAAAAAAAAGAAAATTACAAAAAAGTGCAATATTTCTTGCCAGTCACCTCGGAAAGTGATGTCACTTATATATTATGTAAAGTCATCACACATATGTTGATATATTCCAATTTTAATGATTACAGAAAATAAAAATCCCAGATTCAGTGACTCAGAAAATTAGGATTCCGGGGAAACAGTCGTTAATGAAAATGATGGTGTCACATCCTAGTCAGCCAATGAACTCAAAACACCTGCATTGACAGATATCCAGAAGACGGTCATTAACACCCTGACAAGGGAAAGCCACAAAAGGTCAGTGCTTAAGAAGCTGGTTGTTCACAGAGCAAGCATATGAACAGAAACTGAGTTGCAGCGAGAAGTGTGGTTAGAAAAAGTGCACCACCAACAGGGAGAATCATAGCCTTGAGAGGATCGTCAAGTGAAATCCACTCCAGAATTTGGGGGAGCTGCACCAAAGTCCACAGTTAATGCAGCTGGATAGCAGAAAATTTTAGAGCACTTCATGTTTCCCTTTGCTGACAAGCCTTTTTTGGAAATGCTGGTTTTATTTTCCAGCAGGACTTGGCGCCTGCTCATGGTGCCAAAGGCGCCAAAGCTGGTTCAGTGACCGAGGTGCTCCAGTTCATCATTAGCCAGCAAACTCCTCTGACCTGAACCCCCAAAGAAAATCCATGAGTCTCAGATTTGTTTGATGAAAGATACAAAACATGCGTCACATTTAGGTAGGAAATTCTCTGCAAAGATTTTGTATAATTTTTTACATCATGAAAAAAAAAAATGTTTTAACCTGGAATTTATAGGCTGTGTGGACCTTAGTTTCATAAATGACAATGTTTTTTACCAACAAGATCATTTCTGAATGTAAAACCCTGGCACTGGGTGTCCCACAGGGTTCAGATCTGGAACCTTTTACTTTTATCCTATCATCATCATTTTACACATTCTACCTCCTGAGACTTATTCCTGGACATTTCTTACCATCGTTACGATAACAACATTCAGTCTTTTGCTGAATAACGTAAGTTCTCATCCTTGATTAAATGCCTAGCCAGGAGGTATGCGTTTCACTCTGCCATGTCCTTGCAGCATCATTTAAGACAATTAATAAAAAGTTGTGGTTTTACCAACTATAGAACATCTATGAGATTTGAAGTATTTGTAAAACAAATGAGCCTAAAATGATTAATCCCACTTTTATGTCTTCACTCATTCCAGGATGCAGCTACAAGGCAAACACTAAAAAGGAAGCAACAAATTACAGCCATTTTAGTGTTTTTGCACTGGCTGCCCTTGCATTTTAGAATACATTTTAAAATTTTAGTCGTAACTTTTACAGCCCTTTGCGGTTGTGCTCTTGTTTATATCTCTGGTATATAGAGATTGATACCTCCCCTTCTGAAATCTGGTCACAGGTTGCTTGTAGTGCCATGGACTCATTATAAGCTCACAGAAAACACTTTTTTTTGTTACAATTTTTTTAGTGTTAAGTCCTTGTGCCGATTTATTTCCAATATTACTATACTATACTTTACTATACTTTCCCAAACAACATTTTGCTCTTTGCTCTGAGGACATATAATTTCATTTTGTTGACTCACATGATAAAATGCACATATATTTCACCTTAATTGGACTTAGCAAAACTGCATTTAAGCAGATTTTTTTTTTTTTTGCTAGTTTTGTTAGTTGGCACAATAAGTATGACAGAAACTGAACTCAAGTTATTTATAAATGTATTAATAATTAATTCTAATTAATTGCTAATGTTGCTGATTTATGGCTGTGCTCAACTATTTAAAAAACAGATTTTAAAAACCATGTTCGTCGCATAGATCCTAAGCAGATCAAAATAAGTAATTTCTCATTTGGATGGTCAGATTTGTGTATTAAGTTTCCCTTTCAAGGGACATTCTGACATTTTACTTGCTGATTCATGGCTTTGCTGAAGATCACATTAAGCAAAATTTCAGTATTATTTGCAAGTCATTTGAAGTTACTCTGAATGTGGAAGTGACCTTTTGCATTTCCTTTGAGTATTAACGAGTGACACCTTTTAGCTGATCCCCATTATTTAGATTGGACAGATGCAAAAGATAAAAATGCCAACTATAGAACTATAGTTATATTCCAACTTTCTGAATAGGTCAGAAAGTTGGACGGACGCACAGACAGACAGAAAGGCAGACATAGTTTTTAACTTTGCAAAAGTATAAATTGACTGCTGACATTTCTAACTTCATCATAAGTATGGTAATCCGATGCGTCCTTTGTTTTCGGAGATCTGCATGCAAATATGTGCCGAGCGTGACTGCACACTTTAAGACCGCTTTAAAACATTTGGCTGTTTATTCTCTATATTTACAGCACCTGCAATCATGCTGTCTCCAGAGGTCCAAGCAGACCAAGGGAGGGGAGCACTGGTGCTTTCTGCAGGCATCTGAGGAGCAGCCGACAGAGACGCCCTGTGAAGCGACCAGCACCTGAAGTCCTTCTGAATGCTGGTCCTCATCCAGGGGAACGGAGCGGCCGTTAAACCTCACATCACGCAAACAGCCTGGCGAAGACAGAGGGAAATAAGAGAAGGGAGACACTAGTCCTCAGGGCAAAAATCTTTTACAGGCACGCATTTACGCGGCAACAAGAGCGTAAACTAGAATATGCAGGCACACAAGCACTACTAACACTCGTAGACTTGCCGACATACCTGCCGACCAATGCTCTCACACTGCCAAACATACAAACAGCCTCGGGCGATGCTCTCAGCATGAATTTTTCTTTCTGGTGTTTTTTTTTTTTTTTTCTACCAGTTAGTTTACTCGCTCTGTTGAAAGCACGAAGTCTTCTGCATCATGTAAATGCATATCAGTGCCACTGACATACTGTGTTTATTTGTTTTGAACTATGGCATCAAAAGAGATTTTGTTGTGTAACACCTGGGGTCCAGGAAGAGGTAAGTCTAGGTACTAAATCCACTGCATGTTCAGCTGGGAGACCCATTCCTTTGAAAAAACAGATTATAAGTTAATACTACAAGTCTTTAAGGAATTGCTACTTCATTTTCTTCACCTGACCTGAACTTTAATCACCCCTGATTTATAGTGAATTAAAGAAGTATCTGCCATTTGTAAATCTTCGAAGACATGACTTTCCACATAAAGTGACAAGTGAGGCAACACAAAGCTTTTGTAAAACTCTTTCAGTCAGTGGTCCTTGAGATACTTCATTAAATTCTCTGTGCCTCCCTGAAATCATTTCAGAAAATTTGAAAAGGCATACACCTGTCAACTGTATATATTGTTCTGTCTTCCTGTGTGTGAGCAGAATCCAGCAGAAAACAAGATTTTTGAAGGTAAAAATAAAAATGCAGGACGTTTTTACAGAAATTATTTGTTGTGAGCAATGCATTTAGTTTCCCAAGCAGAAACCTACCAAAGAAGCTGCGGTTGTGTCCTGATGGGAAAGAGTTCCCAAGCATCACCACAGAGGGGTCAATAATGATCTCCTGACTCTGGCCGGGTGAGGCGGTGATTTCAAGTCGACCCCCGCCCCGATCCAGCCTCAGGGTGAACTCTCTGCCGAACCGATCCAACTCCACCTCATGCCATTCCCCGTCGTCCAGGCGGTGGTACGGCAGTGAGATATTGTAGTCTCCGTCTCCCAGGTTGTAGAAAACAGCCAGCAGGCCTTGAATCACCTGAAAACACAGTGGTACCTTTTGTAAAATTCTTATACCCCAAGTGAAAGATTGAACGCGTTTTGATAATCAAGACTTTGATCCGAGTTTGAGGCATCCTAACTCTACAGTTAGAGTACCGCTGTAAAACAAGCTGTTCAGTTTTGTCAGCTGCTGCAACAACACTATTTCTCTTAGTGTAGATTTCAGGACTCAGGAGTAAAATTGCAAAATGAGGTGCCACGAAGCAGACTGACAGTCTGACAAGAGTTAGATTTCTGCCATATTGCGCTGTGTTGATGTGCAAAAAAAAAAAAAAAAAAAAAAAAAAAACAGCTTTTGAGCATAACAACATTATAAGAAGTAGGCCAGCTCCCAAGGTGAGGAAAAGGCAGCTAAGGGTGAGCAAGGCAAGAATTGTGAAATTTAAGCACCCATACAAGCCCATCTGCTGTAAAACCTGGCAGAAAAGTGGGATGGAAATTCCAGCGGTAAGAATTTATTCGGCAATTTTGCAGCAATGATGCTCTGCCAGGTTGCTCCACACATCACTGCATGGCAAAGTCATCCCGAAGGCAAGGTATACATGAAACAACAATTATCTTCAGCAGTTAGGGATGAGTGAACACAATGGACAAACCAATGTGAGGCTTCCCATAACTGCAGCTTGTACATGTCCTGAGCTTAATTGGAAACAGTAGGTCTAGATAATTCACAGTCAGCCCGGCATGCATGCATTAACTATTGCTCCCTCAGCAGGAGACCCTTTCTACTGGACGCACATAAATGCACACCCATTTATTAAAAAAAAAAAAAAAGTCTAAGCTCAATGTGATTTCCCTATTGCTTCATCTTGCCTGTAGTGCAAAGCAGAAATTGTGTAAAAAAAAAAAAATTAAAAAAAAATAAAAAGGTTAATCAATGCGCAGGTACAAATGATTATATAAACTTTCTGCAGTATCCTTTGAGTCATATGCAATCATCCCTTCTCAAAATATATTTCAGCATATTTCTGAGGTCTGAACTGTGTCAAGCTCTGACTTTTTTTTTTACTCTTTTCAGAAGTTACTTGTGGAGTTTATCCCAGACACCCTCTTAAAAACTTCTTCTCAGCAAGCGTTACTCTAAATCAGGGGTGGCCAAGTCCAGTCCTCGAGAGCCACCATCCTGCAAGTTTTAGAAGTATCCTTACTCCAACAGACCGGGATCAGCTCTACAGAGGCCTGATAACGAGCCAGTCATTTGATTCAGGTGTGTTGAAGCAGGGATGCATCTGAAACTTGCAGGATGGTGGCTCTCGAGGACTGGACTTGGCCACCCCTGCTCTAAATGTTTTCTTCACAGAGAGGCTGAACTCCTCTGAGAACCGAATGCAGTTTCTACCCAGCCTGCCCTTGGTAACCTCTGTGTGAAAAAGTACTTATTTATTCAGTGGGCACTCAATTCCATATATATCCATAAGAAAAGAAAAACTGGGGCAAAAAGGCTGCCCTTTAAATTAGAAGGTTTAGTCAAAAAACACAGTAGGTTGTGTTCAAGTGTTTATGTGTGTTTTGGGACAACAAGGCTGAAAATGTTTCAGCGTGTTTGCTGCAGACAGACATCAGAAGCTTTATACAGCTCACCAATTCAGTTCCACAGAGGGTTTCGCAGAAAAGCTCCACAGCCCTCACACCACACATTAAAGCCAACAGCCTCTTCCTTCTCTTGTCACTGTGGGACTGAAACGAGGGAAGGGGACACTATTGTTTTTTTTTTCTCATGCAGCATGAAAACTAAAAGAACAAGGGCTGGTGCTTTAAACCGTGCTGTCTGACAAATAAGTGCCAGCACAAAAACGAGATGTTTTTTTTTATTTATTTATTTATTTTTTTTTTTTACGGCAGACTGGCAGTGTGAAATCCGTAATAGAAACAGTTTTGGTGCAACCAGGTGACCTGTGAGTGACAGACCTACCAGAGTCAGTTACTTCCAGGCACTGTTCTCACTTGGCCTGTCAGCTGGTTAGATGAAATCCTTTGACAGGGAACACCACCATCATAAACACTCAGCATGGTGTCAGGCAGACGACACACAAGAAGTAAAGCACACTGTCTGCAGCAGTCAACTAAGTGGGTTGCAGATCCAGTGCCTTAAAAACTATTTCATGTTTAAATTAAAAATTTATGCTTTAAATATGATGGTCCAGCTCAAAGCAGCGACAGCAAAAGATGCATGGGGTTTTCAAAACTTTGAGAACAAAAATCAGTAAGTACTATGTAAATTTGTAGACAGCAAATTCAGTGCTGTCGTAGGAAAACATTATTCTGTGCAAATGCAGCTTCAAGTCTTTTAGGGCTACCACGTATGCACATCTACAGGTCGAAATTGTTGCCTCATACCTCAAACTCAGAAAGACAAGTGGAGGATTTTAGAACCTGGATTGTCTAGTTTTGTGTATGAATAATACGATTTAGGACTGGACTTTTCTAACACAGAAAAATAAAATAGATTATCATGAATATGGGAACACAACACACAGTACTCAAAGGCTCTTAATGACATAATACAATGGACCTGCCATCACAGCTATGGGGTATTTGATACCCCAAAGCTGAAGTTTCTCCTGACTTTTTTTTTTTTTTAAGACACGTTGGCCTCTGAACTGATTATGTAATGCTGCTTTTTCTTAAGTTCGTTTCTGTTTTTATGGTTAGAATTTTAGAAGATGTATAAAAATGTATTAACAGTATCCCAATACAAATAACGTGAAGGAAGGGAAAAAGCTCAAATGTGGTTTCATCAGATCAGAACATGTTTGCTGTGTCCCCTAACAAGGCTTGTGGCAAACTGACAACATGGCATCTTGTACCTTTCTTGCACCAGCTATCTTCTTTCCACTCTTGCACAAATTGGTGCAGTCCAATTTGTGGAATGCACCACTAATAGTCTTTTTTTTTTTTTTTTTTAGGCTAAAGATTCACCCTCTCAACTTTCCACTGGCCTCTTTGTTGCTTTTCTTATTAATGCTTTTTATGTCTGGCCTGTCAGTTTAGGTGGATGACTATGTTTTGATGGGTTTGCTGTTGCACCATCCATTTTCCATTTTTGTATGATGGCTTGAACAGTGCTCCATTAAATATTTAAAGGCTGTGTTATTGTTTTATAGAAAAAAAAAAAAAACTAAACTTCTCCCTGGATATTATCCTTTGTCTTCAGGTTGCTGCTTGTACACTAATTTTCTCTAACAAACCTCTGAGTTCTTCTTAAAACAGATGTACTGTCTAGTAATTAGGTTGTCTCTGAGCCTGGATTTTATTCAGGAGTTTTTCTTTGTAAAGGCGTCTTCAGATTACCTTTGTCGACAATTGGTGCTGTACAACTACAGCAAATTGTACTGAACTTCCTTGGATTATAGGAAGGCTTAATATAAATTTATGCAACTCAGTTTTGCAAAAACCACGTGTTCTTTTTATTTAACTTTAAAATTATGCTCCACTTTATCCTGGTCTGTTGCGTAAAACCTGCATGACATACAGAGGTGATTATAGCTGTAATGTGGTAAAATGTGAACAAGATAACTGAATACTTTTGTAAGGAACAGTTTTTATTGCATCTAGAGACATACTGCAGAGACTTTGAGCTTACTTCTCCACATAAGCTGTGTCAGAACTCAGAAGTGTTTAACAGGAGATCTGGCCTTCCATTTATTGCTATGCCCACTGACTCTCTTGTTATATTAAAGTGGTTATGAAACCTTAACCAGAAACAAAAATACCCTTGAATAAGAAGGGCCTATTATTTTTAATCAAACACTTTCCGAAAAGGCTCTCTGCAGATCTAGTCAAAGAGCCAGTAAGGAACATACATATGTCAGTCAACAGCCCCCTCAGTATCCACCCATATGTCTCCAACCCTGATATTACTCACTCACAGCCTGACAAGCATCTGCTGCAATCATTTGCAGGGCCTAATTTGAGGCTCACAAACAAGACAATCGCAGCTGTCAAGGTGGAGGCGGGTGACCAGCCGTGACTCACCTCTAAACGCAGGTATTCACTTTGCTCCTGGGACAGCAAGCTGAGGATGACCCCTGTTAAAGCGCGAGTACGGACCCCAACCTGGACTCTGGTCCGCCTTGCAGGGAGAGACCACAAGAGCTGCAGCTGAACGTGGCTCCGGCCGTCAAAGGAAAACTCTGGAGTCACTTGTCAATCAAAAAAAAAAAAAAAAAAGCACAAAAGGCTTGTTCAATTAATTCAGCTGTCACATGGGAAATACATGAGGGAATTACAGCGAGGGTGTGCGGCTGTGCAGAAGCACTTTATGTAAGACGGGGTTATCTTCCCACACCAGCAAGTTTTCCCATTTGGGTCTGCACACCTCGTGAGGTTCAGACTGAAAACGTCATGGTCATTTAAGGGCAACTCTACGGGCCTACCTTGATCACAATGCGGGCCCGTAAACCCTTTTTCACACAGGCAGCTGAAAGAGCCCCACTCCCCATGACAGCTGCCCCGCTTGCCACAGGAGGGAAGCTGCTCCAAGTCGGCGCAGTGGTTATCAATGAGACCGCAGCCGGGCAAAGTGTTGGAGGATTCAGCAGGAGAACCAAGGTCATACAGCTAGATTGAATAAAGAGAAAAGAAACAGGAGAAAGAGAGTTGAAGAATGACACGCTGAAAGAAGGAATGAAAAAAAAGAAGGAAATTGAAAAATTATAGTTTTATTAAAGATTTGTAAAAGAAACATGCCTCATCTCATTGGAAAATAGATTTTACAATTCACAAAACAAAAACTCAAATAATTTTAATGGCTTTTAAGGTCGAATTTTAATGGCTTTTAAGATCGAATCTTTCAAAAAGCTGATTTTGTGAAATCAATTTCATTGTTTGATAAAAACTCTAAAATGGAACATTTTAGTTTTATCTGAGACAAAGGGGGAGGAACTTCTGAATGGAGACGCAATGAGTGAATCCTTCAGCCTTCTTTCATACGAACATGGAACAGGGCACCCGGGTGCTACCGGCAAAATGCAGTCGGCTGATCATCAGCAACTGTCAGCACAGGTATTAAAATGGACGTACGAGGAGTTTGTTCATTTGGAGCTTTTAAGGAGTGTGTTAATAAAAAAAAAAAAAGACATCAGGTTGTATCTATTAGAGTAGAACCAACTGTTGTAGCACATTCAGTAATTGTAGTGGGGGCATGGGGATAAGAATGTGTGAGTGCATTATGTTTGTTTGTTTGTTGACATGACAACAGTATTATTTGTCTTCGGGCATCAAATTGAGGTTTTGTTGGCATTGGTATTTACCTTAATTAATCTGCTTTAATCATCCTAATGTCCAAAACAGTATGACGCTAACGTAATGCGCTCGGGAGTGAGTTCTGTCAGTGCAGTGTTCTGGTAAGAATATAGAAATAAATGCAAATCTGTGTGTGTTTGTTAGCTGATACTGTTGAACTCCTTGTGCGGTTTATTATGCTCCTGGCTGATTATATATTGATGTGTTTTGGGCTTTTAATTGCTGCGCGGTATGCAGGTTGTGTATTCATTTTACTAATTAATGTGCTGCTTTTTTCCTTTACAATACGGTCGATGTTATCGTGTTTCCACGTTTATTTCTATTTCATGTTTCCATTTCAAATCCCACATGTTTGTATCTTTAAAAGCCCATATACACTCAAAGATACAAGCCCTTTTCTTTTCCCTTTCTGACATTCCATTACACTCCCTTTTATTCTGTTTTAGATCAGTTAGGATTACAAATATTTACATTTACTAAATGACAGAATGGTAAACTTTCTGTACATGTAAACGTTTGCACATACTTCCTTAATACTTTGTAGTGTTTTTTGTAGTATTTTGTAAAACCTCTGCAAGATTTTACAATAAGCTGTGTATTTGATTTATTGCTTTAAAGAAACCCAAAGTTATGACACGGTTTAACTCAAATACTGGAAATAAAACATATGACACAAGATTATAACAGTATGATCTGAACTTTTCCAAATTCTCGACAAAAATGGCAAACTTATTGTATGTTAAACTCCAATTAATAATAAAAAAAATCATACTGATAAATAAAAATTATGCATGCAAGAAACCTTTGTATCACTCAGACCTAAATCACATACATTCTTTTACTAAATTGTATTATTTATAAACTTAGCTAGTTTTCTGTCATAACAGAACAGAATACATCACAGCCACCTATTCGTCCAGCCATGCAGTTGTGTTAAACTTAGATCACTTTTTTTTACTTTACCTTGCTGTCCACAATCAAGTCCCTTATACATCCAGTATAATGTTTGTGTTGTAGTTGTGGGTATTCGTATGATATGTTCTCATTGATTCCTCCAAGCTGCAGAACATGACTTGCATTCAGGTACCTGGGGATGAGAAACAACCAAAGTATGGGTGCCAAGGGAAACTTTTCAAGGTTACAACTCAAGGCAGAACTTGCAACATAAATAAAGCAGAGACTGTAAGCAGTTGTAACATGTACATACAACACCAGCTGTCTGTTAAAATTCATAGTTTTCTTCGGTTCTTGCTGAGGCGGTCATCACTTTTTGTACATACAGAAAACAAATGTGACACCTTTTCATTGTTCCTTTCCTCTTACTTTGAAAGTATGCATTATACCAGTATGTAAATTACATTTGTGAGAAAGCAAAATCCACTCAGAAAGAGATTCCTCTACTACTTTCAAGAGATGTCAAGGTGATAATTTCTCTGCCAAGGGAAGTCAAAACATACCCTCATTGGAATATGCTTTTTATTTATGAATCTCTTTGTCTGTAAAATTATTATAAAATATACATTTATTATAGGTTTATCAACAGATAGTCTATTAATAAATAACCCATTAAACCTATGTAACAGCATGATTGTTTTAAACATAAATTGGAACGTTTTCTTGACAAAACAATAAATAAATAAAAACATTCTGGTGCGAATATGTCAAGTGGATGTGTGGCCACTTACTACTGAGGAAAAGTGTGTTAGAGTTGTGAGAGTGAATAGATCAATAAAGCAGCTTTCTCCTCACCCACCAAAAACAGTTTGCCTGTTCAAAAGACTTCATCCTCATGAATATGAAATAAATGAAATCCTGGTTCCAAGAGAAAAGAAAATTGCAAGAGAAAAGACAAAACACAGTTCATACTGCAGTAATAACGGGTAGCTCTACATTAGTCAGAAGTTAGATCATGGAGGTGACTCAAGGCGTTATTTGTGAGCACAAAGTTTCTAAGGAACAAAACATGTAATTTTAGGATTTTTTTTATTTTATTATTATTTTTTTTTAAGATTTTATGTGTCCTGTCAGTTCAAAACTTCTGCTAATATCCCATAATTGCTTCATGGAAAGAAATCAATAATGTGTATTTGCAATAACAGGATGGATATTAAACATTTGTTTTTCTTAGTGTCTGAGCAAAATGAACAAGAGATTTCAAAGCCCTGTTTTAACTTCCCTTCCAACCACAACCTGTGCAGCACTAGCTTTCAGAGATTTAAAAGCGAATAAACCTTTCAGTTTTTAAAAGAAACAAGATAGACATATAAAGCTTGAGGGACATGGCAGAGGTTTAACTACAAAAACATCTTGACAGCTGTATTGCTGAAGTGCAGTTCAACTTCTGGGTTAAAGAGCAAACAGATTATACACAAAAAAGTGAGAGTTTTTCCAAGTCCTAACAATCTTTATAATATGTGTGCAAAAAATAATAAAGCTCCATCACAATATTATGTGTAAGGTTGCAATTTTCAAATTGTAGCTAAGCTGAAACAACAATAATGAGTCCAGAGGCAAGCCGGGTCCATGGTGGTAGTAAACAAGTTGAGCTGTGACCAAGCACAAAATGCTATGAGGATACGAAGTCAAAAATTAATTGGCATTTTAAGGATTACATTTCAGGAAATCATCAACAGTTTCTTTCCCCCAGAGAAAACAGTGTGGCACATGAGAAACTAAAAACAGCCTGTGTATCCATCTGATTTAATTTTAATAAATAATAAACCCTGGAAAAAACATAAGCAGCATTTTCCATGAGAATTTCTGGGTTTGAACAGTTCTACCTACAAATCTTTCCCATGCTGTCTAACGTATGAAATGCCACAAAGATGCTTTGTTTGGTAATTCTAAGTTAACAGATTCAATTTGATTCCTAAGCTGAGATATTTAACTGAGAATCAATGGAAAATGAATTTGATACTGCTTTGATACACTTTTGAAGAAAAAATATGTAATTTTCTTTGTTCTGTCTTTCATTTGTTTATCTTATGTTTGTAATGTACAATGCCAGTTACTAAATAAAACCTAAAAGGCATACATTGTGTGACTTAGAAAACATTAAGACATGAATGCAAACAGAATATGAAACAAAGCATCTACTAAATACTACATTGAAAGTAGCAACCAATCCAAAACATTTTGAAAAGTCTAAGTTCCCCCAGCCCCCTGCTGCTAGTTTTGCATCTAATCCTCACACTGCCCAATGAGGATATGGGGCAAGTCCCTCCGGTCCATGCGTCAGTTTAGGTTTAAAAACAGTAAGTGAAAACTAAACACAAATAGATTTGTTTGGGCTTGCTAAAGAAAGCCACACTCCAGTTTAAAGAAGGCTCTCTTGAATTATTCACGCTGTTACTTCTCGTGCACTCAAAACAAATGCAGCCACACATTTTCCTGTGTCCAATTAAGTACTCATTGCAAATACAGCCATTAATTTGTGTCTTTTTTCATTAAAAGAACCACTTGGATAATAATAAGCATAGCGGTTAGTTAGTTCACATCTGCTTCATTTACGTAGATTTGTGTTTTATATTTTAATTTTCAAGTAAAAATGTCTCCTATCTCTGTCTTTTTTAAACTCATGTTTTAAATATACAAACATAAAACATTTATTGGAGATACTTCTACTGTGGTCCAGCTTCAAATGTGAACTGTGGAAACACCATGGATGGTTTGGAGGGAGGGACGAATCTTTTCCAAATGACCTGTGACAGGAACATATTAAACACATATGCTAATTATAAAATGAACTGTTCGTTAATGGCGTTTCCCTCTCTTTAATTACAAGGCGGTATGGCCACGAAAAGGCCAGCTAGATCTACGGATGGATGAACGGTTGGATAGAAAGTTCACACAAAGGGACAGAAAAATAAAGTCTGAGAATACAGATATTTTTCCCCAAACTATTTTCTCTTTCCAGAATTAATTATTGGTCTTACTTATCCCTGTTGGGCGTGACCCCTCGTATTTCACAGGAAGAGCGATCCTCTGTCATTGCCCAAGAATCCACCCCCTCTGCTTCCATGACAATCGCACTGGAGCATCGATCCAGAGTAAAGCGCACTTCCTTTAAATTGGGTGGGAAAGAAAAGAGAAGTCATTACAGCCGCATGTGGGGATGAATGTTGAGCTTCTTGACAATTCCGTGGCGCCGCAGCGTGTTTTCTAATCTGACATTTCTCTCGCACGTAGAGTGAAACCGTCAGTGACAATCGCGTAGGAGCTATGGTGGTTCTGTACTTCTCTTACTTTGCTGTTGCTCCTCACATCAAGGCGGTGCCAACGTCTGTCACTCACTCCAACATTTGTTAACTGGAGAACTAGGGTCCCAGAGCCATGGTTGATTTTAAGGCTAGGAGTCCCACCAATCAGCTCTATAAAAGACGAACACCAAAGTTAATAGAAGCCGCTGAAAAATAAGTGGACGATTAATTCTGGGGGAAATTATTGGAAAAAAAAAGGTCAAACTCATAAAAGCAGCTCAAAATGCACGTATGATTAAAAATATAAAACCAGGGTAAACAGAAAATAGTGATGAAATGTATTGTAAACCAAACAGGGTATAAATACAAGAAAATGATAAAAAGGCAAGGTTCAAGTTCCCAGTTTGATACAGGGAAATACCCAAGGGAAGTTTCTTCTCTTAAACAAAGAGAATAAACAACTGAACGCAGACTGGAGCGCAGAATCTGAGTAGCAGAGAGAACAGTATGCTGCAAGCCACATTTAGAGCACTTGTGGCAAAGTTGTGTTAAAAGAAATGAATTCAGGTTTACATTTCTTGAATGTACACAGCTGTTTGTGCATTTTAATAATAAGTCATGGCTTCCTGTTTGCCTTAGGAATAATTGCAACATGATACAGAAGGCCGTTTCTCTTAATCTCTGATTGCTGGCAAGCCTGTTGCCAAAACAAGGTGATTATATTTTGAAAAAGCTCACCGAACGACAAAGAATCTGAGATACTGTGAGATTATTTCTCGTCCTTATTATTTTTTTTAGATCGTTTGATAGTAGACTCCAGCAACACTTGAAATGCAAAGGAACCAACTTCACTGCATTCATGACCCCCAAAAACGACAAGAGCCAACATTTTTTGGTTCCCCAGAATTTTTAATTTTACTGGAGTCTTTATCTTACCAGATCTTTGCCCCTCTCCATGCACCTTGTAAGTAGTTGAAATACCAGACAGAAGATTTAAAATAACAACATCCTCTGTCATTCAGATTATTTTACGGCAATAAAAAAATTATTTATTTTGGGTCCGGCACTGGAAATAGCTCTGTATCATGGGGTGACAGAGGAAATTTAAGAAATGACTTTGGCTCGTTAAAGATTCATTAGTTTAGAGAACAGTGAATAGAAAACATATAGTCATACTGTATATCCATGCGTGTAGGCAGGGTGAGCATTTGCACAATGATAGAAACAATAACCTGATAGCATAACTCCACCATAACTGCATCATTTATAATATAAAATTACAAAGACTGTTTCTTTACTATGTTACACAATTGGATGATATTACTTTTACATTCAGCATATTTAACATTGTCTTCACTCTCGTTGCCTTGAGAAGATTGTATGCTTCTTCTAAATGTTTCAGTGCTCCTAAGGCTGCAATGGAATTAGATCTTTAAGGCACGACATACTTAAACTGTATTAATTGTATCTGTTTTGGTAAAAAAAAACAAAACAAAAAAAAACACAAAGTTCCCAGAGTGAGCCTTTGTATCAGCAACAATAAACTGTGTTGATGTTTCTTTCATGAAGTCACTGTGTGCTTTCCGAGTCGTTACCTGTGAAGTGGACTGCACCAGGTATTCAACCATGCTATGAAAGATTCCCAACAGAGCAAAAAAAAAAAAAAAAAAAAAAGCTCAATTCAAGGAAAATCTGGACCTGAGTCAACAAAAAGAAACTATGGTTCACTGATTTTCTGTGTGATGGCACGAGTGATCGATCATTACTGGAGGCGCAAAAAAAAAAAAAAAAAAAGGAGACATATTTTTTTTTTCGTAAAACCTTACTGGGATCTTTAAACTCAGTAAATCAAGACTCAAATACACAACACCTCACGCTTTGCCGTTATTGATTTCAAAGGATCACATACAGACAACAATATATCACATGTAGACATCCTTTTTCCTGCAGGAAGATTTAACACGAACATGGCAAAATTATTTCTTTATTTTTCCACGTTTCGCAAATATGAAAGCAAACAAACGTAACATCTCACAGATTAACTTTTATTTGCTTTCCAATCCAAATTGGTTTTCATTGCTCATACCTAGCTGATAAGAATTTTGCTGCAGCATTTTTGTGCTAAAGGCTTTAAATCATTATTCTTTATTGGAAGAGATAAAGAAACAGGGTTTTCATAGAATTACACTGAAGTTGTGCAGCTTGTTTTAGGGATGGTAATTTCAACTATGGCAAACAACACTATTTAATTTCCCAGGGCTCCATTCTAATACCAGTGCTATGTCTATTTCTGTTCGTATTAGTCTAGTGTTTGTAAATTACATAATTTACTTTCATGCTCATTTAAGGTTTCATTTTCTGATCAAGTATGATCAAATATGTTTACTGCATATCATACTTTCAAGGTACCCTATGATCTTGTAAATAGTTTACATGTCGTGGAACAAAAATATATACATAGATATGTTTTCTTTCTGTGGCCTCCAACAATTTATCCTCCAACAATTTACCTAAAATTCTAGTTTGAATTTTCTGCTGAAACCCTTCAGACTGGGGATGTTTGGTTCAATTCCTTGTGGGATGTTTTATGTGTACCTGCTCGAACACACCTGGATATTTTATTGCTATAAAGATGTAAAATTGTTGCAGTTACAGCTATAATAATTTTATAAGACACCGATGGTTTGAAATGTAGGTGTTTTTCATTCACCATTATTTCTATTGCTTTATGATATTTTTACCAACTATGCAGAATATTTACTGTTTTACTGCTTTTACTGCTGTACAAACGCTATCTACACAATAGCTTTACATTTTCTCCATGCGCTCTGCATTTTGCATTTTGTCTGAATTAGTTTTTCCCTATTGTGCTAAATAAATACACACATACTTGAACTTGCGGCACTTTGAAAGGATCTAATCAGCGAGTTGTTCAGACATACAGGGGAAAGTATGTCACTTCTCCAGCTAAGAGCAGAAGAAGTTCAACCTTCTCACCTTTCATCTACCCACTCAGAAGTCAAAAGTCGTGCTCTCCTTTTGTTTTTGCTGTGAACTGGAAATTCTCATAAGATATACGTTTTATTTTCTCCTTTTGTTTTGGAAATAAAAGTTCTTGCTGCTCTCCCTGGTCTATCTAAGGTTTTGTTGATCTTTGTTTTCATTCGAGTTTCTGTTTCAGACCCAGCAGTCTTGCAGTGCCATGAACTTTAACTTTTAACTTCCTAATTAAGACCCGTCGAGCCTGAGACTTGGCTCCTGAGATTGAAACTTTCTCTAACCATTCCAGCATCTAACCTGGAGATGCTCATATTTACTGGCTAGCAATGGCAGGCACTGGGTCAGATGTTCCCAGCTTGTGACGCATTTCCTTCACAGCTATTCACAAATAGTTTGGAAATTGCAACAACTGTCACACTAATGGGCACCAATGAAATCAATGAGATCTTATTGCTACAATATGTTAAGACAGACATAAATGTTCAAGGTGAGCAAAATGCCAAAACCGAGGCCTACACTTGCACATCATCTGTTAATGGGAGAAAGAAAAAAAAAATAATAGATCCAAGATGTTTTTACCATCAAGTTCAAACAGCCATTAGAAATAGAAGCAGGTACTGCTGCAGCCTTGAAACTAACAAACTGAAACAACAGCTGCAAAACCTTTTATTTATGAAATGTGATGCCAACTAATATTTGGAGTGGCAGAGCTAGACAGAAAGAAAAACATGCTTCTAAAATCAAACCTTTGCTTGCTGTTTTGGTTTGCGTACTACTTTTTGACTTTCAAAAACTTCAAGTAATTCTGTATTATCTACACACAGGAAATGATTCAATATCATAAATAGCAAAAAACCCCTTCGCCGATTTGTGTACCAAACATTGCCATTTCATCCCTTCCACTTTGTATCCTTCAAACAAACTGTTTTTGTACTCTTCTTGTAAACTACAGAGTATGAGTTTGTTTTTCATTGTAGCTCAGTATTTTTGATAAACTGTGGAGATGAATGGTCAAAAAAAATCTCTAATTATGCACATACTATTATTTAATTTTTAAGTTATTATTTTGAAACTTTATATTATACCTTATTTACATCCAGTTTACTTCCAATCCACATTTTGACCCCTTCAAATATGATTAAGACATGTAATCACACCAAAATTACTTTCCGATTACCCATATTACTTACTATTACAGTAAATTATGAGGTGAGTATCAAAAATTACTTTTATTTTTGGCTGTCAAAGCTGGTCTGAAACACACACTTGGGTGGTGAAATCAAGTTTGGTGGAATGAAATGTCCCTCAGAAGACATTAACAGTTTTGTACCTGGTACAAAATGACTGAAAGTGCAAAGGTGCATAAGGACATTGGTGGATGGGGGTATTCGTCTCCTGACGGTAGAAAAAAAAACAGGACAACAAAGTACTACAGGAGTGAACTAGAGTTATTTTTGTATGATTATGGGTTATAATTTGTCACAAATTTTATGAGCCAACCTCCCCAAGCTGAAATCAGAAGCAAACATTAAGATGTAATAAAAAAATCTTCAAAAAATCTATAGAAATGCATGAGTATGAGTTGGTGCAGGAGAAACCTATTTACAGGCAGATAATTCAAAACTGGCTGCAGAAACATGTCTATCCATAAATATAACTTCAGTCAAAGTGAGGATGCATTTATTTTACTTATGCTTTAAAAAAAAAAAAAAGTTTATCAATATGTCAAAAAAAATAAAAAGTCCTGCTGATGTTCACTCTGACAGTGAACATCTACAGAAAATAAAGGTTTTTCGATTGTTTCACTGCAAGTATGATATTGACCTCAGGGGCTTATGAAAAAGTATTGCTTATGTATTTATTAGCAAATGTGTTTAGTCTTTAAAGCATATTGAGCTGATGGTTGTATAACTCAGTTGACTGAGAGCTCATACGTCTCTGAAGTAAACACAAACCTAAAGCTTTCCTCATATTTGTGGTTGATTAACTACCTCCCAGTAGTTAACGCACACAATTAAGTTCCAGGTTTTAGAGCTCAGAAGCCCAATAGCACACATGTAATTACTGAGGCTTGACTTTGTTTATTTACTTACCTATGGCAATGTAGTCTTCATTATCCCCAGGTAAAAGGGTGGCCAACGGGCCTGCGTACAACAGCAGTCCGTCATCTTCCTCCGTCATAAACTCGAGCGAAAGATGGCTATCAAAGCATGGCCTTATGGGAGGAAACCAGGCATAGCCGTTACCAAGGAAACTAAGTCTTGTCTGCTGACAGTCTGGCCCTTCGAGCTGTGGGGGGCAGTGGCACCTGTAGCACAGAGAAGGGAAAATGTGTGAAAAATCAGGACAAAACAAGTGGAAAGAAACAATCAGTGTCATTCAGTTTTGAGCTCTCAGAAATCTTCGCATTGTCTCCGTCGTACGTGACAGTCTTGTTGATTCACGCAGGCAGACAGGTCCGACTGTGTTTGAACAGGCTGCCTGTCAACAGACAGCGAGCGGAGCACTTTTTATCTATCAATTGTTTGCATTAGCGACAAAGCCCTGAATATTCAGCCCTACATTAAATCAATTAGTTATGAACACAGCATTACTCTGGTCTATTCTTTATCTATAGCAGCTGTCTGAGCTGAACTCCCCGGAGACAGTTCAGGCCAGGCATATCACGTTCCCTTTGTTAGGAGATAATTACATTTATTTCTTTCACTCCTCTATGTGTCGAACCATCACTGATTTTCAGAAGTTTTTTTGTTCCCCCCCCCCCCCCCCCCCCCCCCCCCCCCCCCCCCCTCACCCCCCCCCCCTACCCCCCCTCGTCCAACACCCTCCCT